AGGAGAAAATATTTGCAAAAGAATCCATCTGATAAGGAGGTTTTATTCAGAACATATAACTTCTAAGAAGACAGACAACCCAATAAAAAGTGAGCAAAAGATGTGAACAGTTACTAACTTCGCAAAAGAAAATATAAAAAGAGCCCATAAACATAAGAAAAGATGCTAAATGTTAGTCCCCAGAAAATGCAAATTAAGCCATAGGGAAATACCACATATAACCATCCATCCAGAATGACTGAAATGCAAAAGACTGACATACCATGACCTGGCTAGGATGCTGAGTAGCTAGAACCCTCTTACCCTGGCTGATAGACCACAAAACTGAATAGCCACTATGGAAAGCAGTTTGACAGTTTCCTGTAAAGTTAAGAGTAAATCTACCAAAGAGTGTAGCACTTCCATTCCTACAGACTCAAGAGAAATGAAAACGTATGTTCACACAGACTTCTACATGGGTATGCATGGCAGCTTTATTTATCGCAGGCAAAGTGATAAGCATCCATGGAGTGGTGCATAGATAAGTGCATTGTGGCGTACCCACACAGTAAAGAGAAGGGAGATACTTACACATGCAGGAAAATGACTGAATCTCAAAAGCACTAAGTTAAGGGAAGAAAAAGTCACAAAGGTCTACGTACTACATCTTTTCCTTTATATGGCTTTGAGGCTGTAATGACAAGCAAACATATCAGTGGTTGGTGGAGTCTGGGATGCAGGGAAGGGATTAACTATAAAGGCACATGAGGGTGATGGAAATTTTTCTAGATTGCAATTGTGGTGGTAGCTGTACAATGCTGTGTATTTGTCAAAATTCACTGAACGGTACACGAAAGATGGGTAAATTTTAGTGTATAGAAACCTCAATAAAGCAGATTTTAATGCATTGACTGCCACACTAGAAGAAAAGTTTTTCCTTAGGGCGATGGATTTTATTAGGTTGAGATAGGTCAGGAAACGTGTGAGTTATATATGCCTCACAAGGTCCTGGGCTCAAAACTAACGTAAGTAACAACTCACATGGCAGGTAATGTGTTAAAAATCACATACCATCGTTTCTTCATCCATCTGCTATTCTGTGATTGCCTCCAATGTCTATATCCTATTTTAGCTCTGGGTAACAAGGTCTATAAATACCTTTTGGTGGAGTTTTTGTGAATTTTACAGACCATCATGGACTTTACGGAGTGAATCTAAAGGACGTAAGAGCAGCTGTGTAAACCTTCAGCTAAATGAGCGCCAGGGGAGAAAGTGGGAAAACAGTTCAGGAAATGGAGGCTTATGTAAGAGCTTCAAGACAAGAAATGTATTTCGAGAAATGCAATGGGCTATCTATTTCACTGAGAATCTATTGTAATTATTGTCACTTATAATGACTTATGTCAGGCCTAAATCTACTACCCTCCAATGAAAACATTCTGAAACAAATTATAAAATTCTTTCTTAGGACTTGGTTCTTCACTGCCCAATGCTGAGCAAATCCATGAATCTATTCACTGAGTAGTCCCTTTAGTTTCCCAGTGAGAAAACTGAGGCTCAACAAAATTAAACTTCCTCAGTCAGACTCAGGAACAGCTCCAGGTCTACAGCCAAAGACCTTTCTCCTAAATTTACTGATCTCTCCACTGCCTTGCGCTCTAGCAGAATTTCAACCCAATTTGTTTGTCTATTTTCAGGCTTGAAGAATGAGATGTGAAAAGTGGATGTTCTGTTCTTGAAACAACAAATAGCTATGATATAGCAAAGCTTTTAGGGTCTCTTACCATCTCAACTTCATGCTCTGGTGAAATACAGAGGCAGAAATTTCAGAGATCTCGATGCCGAAGTCCCCATCTCCAGAGCAGTGCGTGTGCACATGTGCATGATGTGTTGGGGGGTGGGGGAACCTCTGACCTTGAGGCAGCTGGTGTGTCTAGCTCAAGTATCATCCAGAGCAGCTGCTGAGTTAATCCACCAAAATAGGGAGACATTTCTCTGTAAACCCCTGTTCCTTGCACAGGTCCCTTGAAGTGGTTTGGGGAGATTCTTCTACACACGGCCACTAAGCCACACTGGGAATGGGGAAGGGGAACCAGGAGGGAGTTTTCTTGTTGCTGCTCTCATCTCTGTGAAAATTAAATTGCCACATATACTCCCAGTAAAATTTCCAACTGTCCACGGGGAGCAGATGAGGACTTTGGCTCTAGTCCTATTTGGGATAATGGACACATAAGCCTGAGATGCTGCTGTGTTAACACTCAGGTGTCATCTGCAGGTAGATACAGTGCTGTGGAAAGGGGAGGGGCCGTGGAAGGAGGCTCATGGGACCAGAAATGCCTACACAAGGCTGGAGAGACAACGCCCCCAGAGACTGCTTTCCCAGGGCAGCCAACCTCCCCCTGACCCGACTATTGGTTTGTTTTCTAAGGTTGACCAGTGCATGGTATAATTTTTTCAAAATAAATTGACAGATGAAATAGATCAAACATTATTTCTGCCAAACTCTCCTTGTATTGACTGAGCACACAGCAGGCATAGCCCCAAAGGGTGGAAACTCAGATGGAAATTCTACAGCTGAAGACCACTCAGCTATGGGGGGTTTGCACAGTTTGGGGAGAGGGAGGAATAGGGTGTGGCAAGGCTCAAAGTGTAAGCTGCAGAAGGATGGGAGGAAATTGGGGCCTTTTATGAGATTCAGATTCCCCCTGTGGCTGAACCCAAGCCTTGTTGAAAAATGCTTTCTTAGAAGAACTTGAGGGGGAAGACAGCAATGCTCCTCTGATCTAACAGGAAGTCCTGCCATCACCAGTTTTGGGGAGAGGCTGACACCTGGTTTTTGCCATGACCAGTTTTGTTTGTTTGTTTGTGTGTTCTTGTGTGGAAAGAAAAGGCAGATGATGACAGTAGAGATTGTCCAGCATCAGAACTCACAGCAGCAATATTAAGGGCAGGTTTCACTGTGCTCGTGGAGCTGAGGAAAGCCCCTGGAAATAGAGCATCTGCCTTCTTACAAGGTTTGCAGCTAGCTGATGGGGACTTCAAGTTTACAGATCAAGTAAGCCGGAGACGCCGCTGAGTTTCCATGGCACTGTCACTCTCTGACATGGGACCTTCTAGTAAAAGAGGTTAAGACCACCAGTGAGTCCCGATCTCCTTCCCACACAGAGAAATGGTAAATGTTTGAGATAATGGATATGCTAATGATTCATCTCTGATCGCTATACGTAATATGTATTAGAACAGCACCACGGACCCCATGAATACGTATAATTACTTTTTGGCCAATTAAAAAATATAATTTAAAACAAGAACTCTTGTAGCACATCCTAAGTATTCAAGATGAAACCTAATGATGAAATGTGAAATTACAACAAACTAACCTTTCACTGGACAAATCTTGATCTGGTAAATTGGGCTCTGGGGTGGTGAAGGTGAATCAGGCCAGCAAAAAGTTCAGGGAGGTCAGGAATTTGAGGTTGCTAACAATCTGTGCATATCCCATTTCAGGGAGGAAAGAGTGATACTCCATCATGAACAGGTGTCCTCTATATGAAAGGTCCTTTCTCACACACTGAAGACCACGCAAGCAAGGTTCTTTGCAATCTTGAATGTCAGTTCCCTGTCCCCTATGCCCTGCCCCACTTGCCCCACCCTCGTCCCACCAGATGGGCAGTGAATGTCAACATACATGACATGAACTCAGTGAACAGCAGCCATGAAGCGTGGCACTCCCCCTGCAGCCTCAGAGAAGCATTATGAGGATATACACAGATGGTGACAAAGCCCCAAGCTCGAGTTCTCAGAATGTAAAAGGAACCCTTCAGACAATTATTCAGATCCACAATTAGGTCCTGGTCCCATAAAGCATGGAGTTTTCTCTCTCCCCACTTGCCTCACCTAGTGCTTGCCTGGTACTTCCTGGCACTGCTCTTTACCGTAAATAATGTTAGGAAGAGGAGTTGGGCAGAAGAGCAGGGTGTAAGGACACCCAGAGCAGTCTAGGGTGCACAGCTGGTTATTAAATATTGGGGCAGGTCCTGCTCACAGCCACAGACACAGCAAGGACCCAGGAACACCCCACCGTCACTGCAAGCTGACAGCTGATGAAGTAGGAGTGGAATCTGGGATGGGAGCTTTGGGAAGAGTCAGTGGTGACCCGGGAAAATGCCTGTGAGCCAGAAATAGCTAAGGCCCTTTAGTATCATTGACCCCAAACTGCCACTGGTCCAGGCCCAGCAGGGTCATTTACTCAAAAGTACATGGGGTTTGGAACTTTAACTATTAAACTGATAACCTTCTAAAGGCTATTAAAAGAGTAAGATGTTAGTCCCCAAGCGAACCTCATATCAGTAACCAAGCAATGATAAAGGTGACTCAAAAACAATAGCAGGGACTTTGTATGACTCTGTGGCTTTTCTTTGGTTCTAATTCATCATGGCTGGTAAGTACACTCTGGTCTTCTGGCTCTATTCATCTAGGGCTCCCCCTGGCTGCAATCTCCCAAATGTCGCTGCACCCAGGGCACTTTTCTCTTAGGGACCTCCTCTCCCAGGAGAAACTCTGTAGAGTCTGAGGGTTCAAAGAGAATACCCCTCCTCATCCATGAAGGAACAGCCTCGGACAGCACTCCTGACAGGAGTCATCTGGCCACCGCCTGGGCATCTGATGTCACCTGATGAATTGCTGCTGCTTAATCTAGGGAAACTTGCACTTTGCTGACTGAGTCCTTTCTGCTGCTCTCTCCCCTCACAACCATTCAGGAAAGTTCATTCCTACTGGATCACTGAATAATTGCCCCTGAGTCATGGTTCTGAGTCGGGGCTCCCCTCCATGCAGGGATAGGTAACGGAGCAATTCTCCTCAGTTCCTTGAGGCCACCAGTTTTATCTGCCAACACCATTCTTTTTTGATGATGGAGCCTCAAGGCTTGGGCAGAAATTCATCTTTGGGCCTATGGAAGAAGAATGTTATGGAAAAAACTACATGAGATGTTAGTCAAGGGAAAAGAAAATATTTCCTACCCATTAAAGTAAAAATCAAGCACTGAATCTGACTCCAGATGTAGTGAAGTACAAGAAAAGCCAAAAGTGCTAGGCAGATGGCTAACTCCTGCGAGGAAACAAGAAGACAGCTTCACTGACATGGTCACAAAGCATTTTCCGGCATCATTTCGGTGGACTTTTCATTTGGTGTGGCGCCCACTACCGCTCCTTGTGGGTACTGCACTACTGTTTTCAGAAAACAGCTCCTCCACACACCACTTCCACTAAGTATGTAAGAATTTTACAGACTATCTAGATATAATAACGTTCATGTTTTTTTAACTTAAAAACCACCTCAAAAAGTTCTCTTATACCAAACATTTATTTTTGTCACTTTTCAGCTGTGAAGGCAAGTATCTGAGCCCAAAGCAGGTTACTTTTAATTTTCCAAATATAATTTCAAGTGGAAATTTCAGGTCCACTTGAACAGACAGAATCAAGGTACTAAGTCCTTTTCTGATTTTTAAAGAAATGTTTTGTTTATAGTCACCTGACAACCCAGGAACACAAGACTCCAGAGTGTTTTTCTGACAGCCTTGCATCTGGGCAACACTCACACCCTGACACCCCACACATCTCTAAGAATGTTCATGAGCGTAACCATGAACATTCCTCCTTGTGAGGAAATCGTAGAAGATTTCCACGGACTGTTCAAGACATGCAGACATCTACCCAGGTGTTAGGGAGAAGACGTGGACTTCAAAGTCTAAAGAAAAAAAGGATGTCAAGAGTCCCTTTAAAATCTCTGTGGTGAAAACCCTGTGCGTTTCTGCTCCCAGGATCACATGCTTGGGGAGCATGGGTTGAATCGAGCAAGACTGTGTCCAACCGTGGCCAGCACACTCCCAGAACCCATGAACTAGAGGTTATTTTCCAGAGCAGACTTAAAACTCAATTCAAATGTGCTCCTTGGGGGATGCTGGGAATGACACAAAAGCAGGTGATTAGTCTTTGGAAGCCCAAGAAGAACACAGGAAGGTTGAGCAAGGGCAGGTGGCCAGGGACACAGCCAGTCACTGCAGACAAAGCGGCATGCCTGAGGCCGGGCTCGCTCGCACCCTCCCTGGGCAGCCAGGTGTGAGGTCGCCACACATGGGCAGAGTGAAGTCAGATTTGTTCTGTTTTGTGTTTTCTTTTATATAACACTTTAAAAATAAGCCAACACGGGGGGAGGGGGGTTTCCCATGTATTTTTCTCTCTGTCCTTTGGAAAGCCCTTTTTTCTTGCTGTGGCCTATTCCCGCAGGACTAGGGGCTACGGGAGAGCATTCAGACACAAGTCCGTCAACACTAACCTGAGAAGTAGCTGCAGGCGCACTAGTTTCCTTACCACTCACTGCTGCCCTCTCCTGGGACGCAGCTCCTGCCACTTCTGCGTTCTGCACATTGGAATCCTCAGAACCCGGAGGCCCTATTTGCCCCAGAACTTCGCTCCCTGGGGTGCAAGGTGGGTTGGTGGTGGCTTTCCGAGTTTGGCCTTTATACCAACTAGGGTAAAACAAAGGATCCGCGGTGTCCGCTGCTGCAAGGACTGGAGTTTCAGACTCTGTGGTCTGCTGAGAGCCAGTGGGCACAACCTCCCCCTTAGTTAGGACAGATAAGTTCAAAA